TTCGGCCTGTCTTGAATCGCTCAAGAGTTAATTGTCTGGCCTACTTAAAATATATTGCTGAGAATATATTTTTTGTTTTTCCTTGTGGCCTCTTTCTTTGCTTAGGAGGCTACCTCGTCAGTACATGTTTGTTTTTGTAGTATTGTATATAGTTAGCTTATTGTGTTGAGTGAGTAGCCCCTGATACGCCAAAGTATAAGTTTGTATTTTCTTTTATCTTGCTATCCGGCTCATTTAAATATCTCGAATTGTAATAAACAGGTAAACTGTTGTTTCATCGTTTTTGTTGTGTATAAATGTCACATTATGTTGTATGTTTTGTGTGCAACGGTGCCTGTTCATTGAGACACTGGCGGCTCAAAAAATTGATTTAATGATCTTATTCCAATTTTTATTTTCCTATAAACAAAATGGACTTTTGTTCAGTGTAAAATGTTGTACCTGTTTCTCCTTTGTAGATGAACCTGTGGTTTGGGAATCAGCCGGGTGACGATGCCTTCAATAGACTGGCCAACCTGAAGAGATGTCTGTTCGACTTCTTTGCCGACCATAACCGCAATCCTCCTACATTGGATTATGTCAGCATGGTTAGTACATAAATACAGAAAAAAGACCTTTTCTGGGAAATATTTCTGTTAAAATTGCTTTCTATATTTACAGGCATGTTTACATTTTGATTTATAACCACACTTAAAGCTGGAGATGTCATTTAACTTTAGTTAATAACTTGCATTGAATTTGGTTTGGGAACAACAATATTTTTGAAGAGATTAGGAGTGTCATCATACATTTTCAAGAGCACATTTGCCCTCTTCTATTAAATAAGTTTATATCAGTTTTACTGTTTTCTTTTTTTTGCTTATGTTTCTCCAAATAACCATGTACATTTAAATGTTCGTTACAGCTGATGTACTTCGGTGCTTCCTCCCATGCCAACGAGGGATTCTTGCGCTCACTAAGTGTTTCAGCAGGCCAGCACATGCCACGACTGCCAAAGCCAGAACCCACTGCTCCCAGTATAGCAGAAAGGTAAGGAAACACTGAAAATAAAGGCCTATTAGCTATATACCTAACTATACTTAATGATTGAAATGCATCTCTTTAAACATTTATGATGAGATGATATGCAACATTGTGCATCTTGGAGAATGTGTTAGAAATGATCTGTGTAGCATACCATGACATGACAGTTTCGTGTGATAGTTTTTCTTGTATTGCTTAATAACATTTTTGGTTGGTCAGTTTATCTTACAGCTGTACAACAGAAATTGAAGATCAGGAAACACCCAACGATCCAATAATCCTCAATGAATAGACCTAAGGGATAAAACGTTAAATATCACATCCAAATTAAACTTATACACAGGTTCCAAACTGGTTAACACAACTCATTGTTGGTCATAAACACTAACTACCAAGAATGTTTGATTCTGCAGCACACCAGATATCGTGGATGACCCGTCCCCACCCCCTCCGATCCCTGAGGATATCCCTATGGAGGCGATGGATGGCACTGTCCCCCTCGAGGCGCTGTACCGCGTGTTCCACCATGGCGAGTCAGCAAAGGGTGACAGCCATCGCTTCAGTGTATGTGCTGATCCCGAGGATGCCACTTCTAGGGTAAGTGGCCAAAGCTTAGATTATCAAATGAATGAACAAATATAACATTACCTTCGTAAGGTAACATTAGTTATACAGAACAAATATAACATTACCTTCGTAAGGTAACATTAGTTATACAGAACAAATATAACATTTCCTAGTTATACAGAACAAATATAACATTACCTGCATAAGGTAACATTAGTTATACAGAACAACATTAGTTATACAGAACAAATATAACATTACCTTTGTAAGGTAACATTAGTTATACAGAACAACATTAGTTATACAGAACAAAATATAACATCACCTTCATAAGGTAACATTAGTTATACAGAACAAATATAACATTACCTTCATAAGGTAACATTAGTTATACAGAACAAATATAACATCACCTTCATAAGGTAACATTAGTTATACAGAACAAATATAACATTTCCTAGTTATACAGAACAAATATAACATCACCTTCATAAGGTAACATTAGTTATACAGTACAAATATAACATTACCTTCATAAGGTAACATTAGTTATACAGAACAAATATAACATTACCTACTTAAGGTAACATTAGTTATACAGAACAAATATAACATCACCTTCGTAAGGTGATGTTATATTTGTTCTGTATACCTAATGTTACCTTATGAAGGTAATGTTATATTTGTACTGTATAACTAATGTTACCTTACGAAGGTGATGTATATTTGTTCTGTATAACTAATGTTACCTTACGAAGGTGATGTTATATTTGTTGTGTATAACTAATGTTACCTTATGAAGGTGATGTTATATTTGTACTGTATAACTAATGTTACCTTACGAAGGTGATGTATATTTGTTCTGTATAACTAATGTTACCTTACGAAGGTGATGTATATTTGTTCTGTATAACTAATGTTACCTTATGAAGGTAACATTAGTTATACAGAACAAATATAACATTACCTTCATAAGGTAACATTAGGTATACAGAACAAATATAACATCACCTTCGTAAGGTAACATTAGTTATACAGAACAAATATATACAACATCACCTTCATAAGGTAACATTAGTTATACAGAACAACATTAGTTATACAGAACAAATATAACATTACCTTCGTAAGGTAACATTAGTTATACAGAACAAATATAACATCACCTTCGTAAGGTAACATTAGTTATACAGAACAAATATAACATCACCTTCATAAGGTAACATTAGTTATACAGAACAAATATAACATCACCTTCGTAAGGTAACATTAGTTATACAGAACAAATATAACATCACCTTCATAAGGTAACATTAGTTATACAGAACAAATATAACATCACCTTCGTAAGGTAACATTAGTTATACAGAACAAATATAACATCACCTTCATAAGGTAACATTAGTTATACAGAACAAATATAACATCACCTTCGTAAGGTAACATTAGTTATACAGAACAAATATAACATCACCTTCATAAGGTAACATTAGTTATACAGAACAAATATAACATCACCTTCGTAAGGTAACATTAGTTATACAGAACAAATATAACATCACCTTCGTAAGGTAACATTAGTTATACAGAACAAATATAACATTACCTTCATAAGGTAACATTAGTTATACAGAACAAATATAACATTTCCTAGTTATACAGAACAAATACAACATCACCTTCATAAGGTAACATTAGTTATACAGAACAAATATAACATCAACTTCATAAGGTAACATTAGTTATACAGAACAAATATAACATTACCTTCATAAGGTCACGTTAGTTATACAGAACAAATATAACATCACCTTTGTAAGGTAACATTAGTTATACAGAACAAATACAACATCACCTTCATAAGGTAACATTAGTTATACAGAAATACTTTTGTAGTTCAATCAAGAATTCTAGTTTGTAAATTTCTTGGTCAACTAACAGTCACAAAATGAATGATTTAATGATTTTGACATTTTATACATAAAATATGAAAATATACTAGAGGAAAGCATTCCATTTCTGATCTTGTTACCAAATGGCTTGTTTCATATTTAATGGTCAGATAAATCGATTGTTTACACAGGAGAAGCTGACAAGTGTATACCAGGAACTCGGCAGTGACAATGCTGAGCCTGTTCCTTTCAAGGTCCTGATGGAACACCCCCTAATCCAGGACATCATTAACTCCTGCAGTACATTCAAAACACTGGTGAGTATACTACCAACACTTTCCAGTAACATTACACATCTTTTATAGGTGTAGAGATTCACTCACTCGTAAACACAAATTGTTGTTGGTAAAACAAAGCAGACTTGGTACAAAACTTACTTAAGTCCTCTAACCTGGGCAAAACGAAGCAGACTTGGGACAAAACTTACTCAGTCCTCTAACCTTGGCAAAACGAAGCAGACTTGGGACAAATCTTACTTCAGTCCTCTAACCTTGGCAACACGAAGCAGACTTGGTACAAAACTTGCTTCAGTCCTCTAACCTTGGCAAAACGAAGCAGACCTGGTACAAAACTTACTTAAGTCCCCTAACCTGGGCAAAACGAAGCAGTCTTGGTACAATACTTAATTAAGTCCTCTAACCTGGGCAAAACGAACCAGACTTGGTACAAAACTTACTTGAGTCGTCTAACCTTGGTAAAACGAAGCAGACTTGGTACAAAACTTACTTAAGTCCTCTCACCTGGGCAAAACGAAGCAGACTTGGGACAAAACTTAATTAAGTCCTCTAACCTGGGCAAAACGAAGCAGACTTGGTACAAAACTTACTTAAGTCCTCTAACCTTGGTAAAACGAAGCAGACTTGGTACAAAACTTACTTAAGTCCTCTAACCTTGGTAAAACAAAGCAGACTTGGTACAAAACTTACTTAAGTCCTCTAACCTTGGTAAAACAAAGCAGACTTAGTACAAAACTTACTGAAGTCCTCTAACCTTGGCAAAAGCTCCCTGAAAAGTTGATAAAACCACCAAGTCAGTCCCTATTTTCTATCAACTTTGGTAAAAAGTTCAGAGGATAAAATGCGAGTTGTGCAGTTATGTGAATCCAGTGATGGGTAGTAAACATGGATTTATAGAGAGCCGGTACACACTGTCTATATATACATGGATTTATAGATAGCCGGTACACACTGTATATATAAACATGGATTTAAAGTAGCCCGTACTCACTGTATATATAAACATGGATTTATAGATAGCCAGTACACACTGTATATATAAACATGGATTTAAAGTAGCCCGTACTCACTGTATATATAAACATGGATTTATAGATAGTCGGTACACACTGTATATATAAACATGGATTTATAGATAGCCAGTACACACTGTATATATAAACATGGATTTAAAGTAGCCCGTACTCACTGTATATATAAACATGGATTTATAGAGAGCCTGTACACACTGTATATATAAACATGGATTTAACTTGGTACAAAACTTACTTAAGTCCTCTAACCTTGGTAAAACAAAGCAGACTTAGTACAAAACTTACTGAAGTCCTCTAACCTTGGCAAAAGCTCCCTGAAAACTTGATAAAACCACCAAGTCAGTCCCTATTTTCTATCAACTTTGGTAAAAAGTTCAGAGGATAAAATGCGAGTTGTGCAGTTATGTGAATCCAGTGATGGGTAGTACACATGGATTTATAGAGAGCCGGTACACACTGTCTATATATACATGGATTTATAGATAGCCGGTACACTCTGTATATATAAACATGGATTTATAGATAGCAAGTACACACAGTATATATAAACATGGATTTATAGATAGCCAGTCCACACTGTATATATAAACATGGATTTATAGATAGCCGGGACACACTGTATATATAAACATGGATTTATAGATAGCAAGTACACACAGTATATATAAACATGGATTTATAGATAGCCAGTCCACACTGTATATATAAACATGGATTTATAGATAGTCGGTACACACTGTATATATAAACATGGATCTATAGATAGCCGGTACACACTGTATATATAACCATGGATTTATAGAGAGCCGGTACACACTGTCTATATATACATGGATTTATAGAAAGCCGGTACACACTGTATATATAAACATGGATTTATAGATATCCCATACACACTATATATAAACATGGATTTATAGAGAGCCCGCACACACTGTATATATAAACATGGATTTATAGATAGCAAGTACACACAGTATATATAAACATGGATTTATAGATAGCCAGTACACACTGTATATATAAACATGAATTTATAGATATCCATTACACACTGTAGATCTAAACATGGATTTATAGATAGCCGGTACACTCTGTATATATAAACATGGATTTATAGATAGCAAGTACACACAGTATATATAAACATGGATTTATAGATAGCCAGTACACACTGTATATATAACCATGGATTTATAGAGAGCCGGTACACACTGTCTATATATACATGGATTTATAGATAGCCGGTACACTCTGTATATATAAACATGGATTTATAGATAGCCAGTCCACACTGTATATATAAACATGGATTTATAGAGAGCCTGTACACACTGTATATATAAACATGGTTTTATAGTAGCCGGTACACACTGTATATATAAACATGGATTTATAGAGAGCCCGTACACACTGTATATATAAACATGGATTTATAGATAGCTGGTACACACTGTATATATAAACATGGATTTATAGAGAGCCGGTACACACTTTATATATAAACATGGATTTATAGATAGCCCGTACACACTGTATATATAAACATGGATTTATAGGAGCCGGTACACACTGTATATATAAACATGGATTTATAGATAGCCCATACACACTATATATAAACATGGATTTATAGAGAGCCGGTACACACTGTATATATAAACATGGATTTATAGATAGCCGGTAAACACTGTATATATAAACATGGATTTATAGATAGCCGGTAAACACTGTATATATAAACATGGATTTATAGATAGCCGGTAAACACTGTATATATAAACATGGATTTATAGATAGCCCGTACATACTGTATATATAAACATGGATTTATAGAGAGCCGGTCCCCACTGTATATATAAACATGGATTTATAGATAGCCGGTAAACACTGTATATATAAACATGGATTTATAGATAGCCCGTACACACTGTATATATAAACATGGATTTATAGGGAGCCGGTACACAGTGTATATATAAACATGGATTTATAGAGAGCCGGTACACACTTTATATATAAACATGGATTTATAGAGAGCCGGTACCCACTGTATATATAAACATGGATTTATAGATAGCCCGTACATACTGTATATATAAACATGGATTTATAGAGAGCCGGTACACACTTTATATATAAACATGGATTTATAGAGAGCCGGTACCCACTGTATATATAAACATGGATTTATAGATAGCCCGTACACACTGTATATATAAACATGGATTTAGAGATAGCCGGTACACACTGTATAGATAAACATGGATTTATAGATAGCCGGTACACACTGTATATATACACATGAATACATGCTTTACATACACTCATAAAAAATATCTTGTCTGATAAAATATATGGTTAATTTCTTAAGTTGATCATGAGTTTTAACTTGTAATATCTAAAATTGTAAAAAACAAAAATATTTTTTGCAAGAAATGTATATAAGATGTTTATAAAATCAGTTACATACTGTTTTGTGGTGAAGTTGACTGCTGATGCTGTAAATGTCTTATGTCTATGATTTCTGTGTTTGTTTACAGGACATTAAGGGCATCCTGTCAAACCCCCACCCTGACCTGGAGCTCCACAGTACCAAGACAATGGAATAGGACGCAAGACTGGACAGTGATCATCCAGACTACGAATGACATTTTAACATTGTGAAATTATCTGGACTTTGTTTCACTTGCAATCAAATTTTTCTCAGTATGATATTGAATCAATAGTAAGGAAGACTTACAAGACTGAAGTGTTTTACATTGTCTTGCATCTTTAGAAATGTACATATGTACATACTTTAGAAATGTGATGTACAGCATGTCTCAGAAATCCCACTTCTGCTGTAACTAAGAGTATTAATGTTATCTAAATATTATCATCTAGTCTAACATTTCTTTCATGTTTTCTGCATCCTCCACCATAGGAACGATTTCTCCAGATACCATCTCCCTACCCCCTGTTCTCTAGCACTGTAGGTACACTGTAGGTACTATATTATATGGTGTTGTGGCCGCCCATTGGCTGTGTGTTACTCTTGTCCTGAAGCTGTTCCTCTGCCGGACACTTCACACACATACCAGAAGCACTGCATTTTTCTCTATACAAAGTCTTCACACCACTTCTACAGTGGCTGGGCACTGCGTTTGTTATCGACTACTGTTCAATAGTTATCTCCCTTTGCCCAGGTACCGTCAGAAAGTGGTGTTCTGGTACGATTTACTGTTGTATATAATTTATATTGTTTATACCAAATTAAAATTATTTTGCTTTTGCATTAGTGTGAAATATTAACTTTACCAGTAGTCTTAAATTGAAAGATTGTTTTACTGCTTCGTTCTGAGTGCTAAGATAAAAATATGAATGCTTTTTATACAGCTGCTTTCTGCATAATTTATTATTAAAACTGTGTGATGGAATTTCTTTTATTTTTCATAAATACACATTCAATTTCTGTCAGCTTTAGTAATATTCCATACATCAATGTATATAAACACACCTCCATTATATATTTCCGTCCAGAAATACTATTTATAAATCATTTTATTCTTGTAAAATAACAACTTCTGACTGTGATATAGTGTTTTCACTAAAAGAGAAGTCGAATATTTATCTCTTTTGAGATATAAATGTGATGTTAGTTTTGATATATTAAAGAAAATTGTTATTGAATAAATTAATTTGAAATCAACTTGCTTTATATTTTTACATGGTTAACATGGTAAAAGACTTGTAAGATGTGATCACATGTGGTATTACAATACAAATTCTCAAGACAGAACCTACTGCCTTCCTCACTCGGTTGAAGGTGCAACGCGGAGACCAAAAGTGAAGTATTGCCAACAAGATAACAAGTAAATTAGCATAAACCTTTAAAATAAAGATCGTGATTAGAGAATTATTTTATTCGTTAGTCCCTGTCTCAAGACATACTTTGGTGACAAAAAAGAACAAAACTCCGCCATCCTAAAAGGTATTTGCAAAAAAAAAATAATGGCAACTGTAGATGGCAGTATAAGAGACATGCTTTGGACAAAGTTATGTAGGGAAAACAAAGGGCCATTACTCTGTATAAATTGGGTTCGAGACCCAGTTTAAGTATGCATCACTGCCAAGAGGATCTTGCATACAATTTCTTTTGCAATTGTAGATGACAGAGCATATAAGAGACATACCCTGGACAAAGCACCACAAAGTAAATAAGCAATCGTAGTGATATGTCCCAGACAAAGAGATGCACCGACGGACTGACTGCTGGATGGTGTGGAAAGCTACAGTCCTTGACGGTAGTGTGGGGAACTAATAAGCTTGCTGAAGTTCTGTAACCCTTACTGCAGCACACTGCCTATATGAATATTACCATAAATCACCTATTCAATTTCATCATCAGAAGTTGGTCAGTGGTGTCTGCCCTACAAAAGTATTAGAAAGATTTAACCTGTGACCTTGATCTTGATATTACAGATACAATATACATAAAAAAAAATCAGCTGTTATGTGGTTGTGATGTTCACGATGCATGACACTTAGTTGTCCAGTAGATTTTTCTGGCAAGTAATAGAATATTTTGAACTTCAACCCTTTGCTATGACCTTGACATGACAGCTTCATAGCTTCTTCAGAAATAAGTTAATCGAACATTCATAACAAGAGGCCCAGAGGGCCTGTATTGCTCACCTGGATATTCAAGCAGTCATAGCAAAATATTCTCATTAAATATTATACTGTACTACAAATATTTCAATCACAAACTTTGTCGGACTCCATCCATGGAAGCTACAAGCCATAAAACATAATCATATGATTCTATGCTTTAAATGTTTGACATATTTGACCCCTGTTACCTTGAAAATAGGTCAAGGTCATTTTCGTTCTCAAACTTTGTCAGGCTCTTACCAATGAAGCTTTCAGTCAAATATCGTGACTCTAGGCCTGTCCATTCTTCAGAAGAAAATAAAGGAAAATTTGAGGGATGACAACGGACGGACGGCAGAGGCGGCGCCATGACATAAGCTTAATAGCCCTTCGGGCAGGTGAGCTAAAAACTTTAAAAAGAAATACAGAATACAGAAAGGTAGATAAATCACAATTTATTCCATGAAATAAATATTATGTCTGGTCAAGAGATTATCTTTGTGAATGGTAGCACATTAAGGGTTTGTTTGTACAGTTTGATGTCGGTGATTGGCGCGGCATGACTCTGGTCCTCATCCACCAAACAGGTCAGGGGATATGTGTTCCCCATTACAGCCGCCTTCTCCTTTGGTCTATCAACAGTATCTGATGATGACGGCTTATCGTCTTCTGTCTTTCCAACAATCTGATATAAAATGTACACTATTAGGCCGCTCATTATATCAAGAGTTGTAAATGTTACATCAGGCAGGCTCCTGTTCTTTTACAAGATCACAATAGTATATACCAGTACCGGTACAACCTACATATATTATTTTGATTTTTTTTTTCTTTCCTAGTACTAATTATGCCATTTTACCTTGTGTTGATTTCATAATTCTAGTGTTGTAATAATGCAGTTCCTTTTAAGAAGCATACTGGGATTTCATAATCATGTTAAATTTGTGAAATGTCTCTTTTTTTTCCTTAAGAAATTGTGAAAGCATTCTCTTTAGCAATAAGATCCTACACTTAACACAAATGCTACTGAAAGGTATGGTTAATTCTACTATTTAGTGTAATAAAAGGAACCTACACCTGTTGTCAACAACACAGCACCAAGAAATGCCACCTCTACTTATCTGGATTAGCAGTGGAACCAAACACTGGGGAGGGGGGGATGGTTATCTCTTAAATATGATTCATTACCTAGACTAAATAATGAACACAAAATTCCAGCCACTGAGAAGAAATCTTCAATGATATACAAAATGTTTACCTGAAAGCTGATTTTCCTATGTCGGCCTTTCTCATACTGTAAATACCAATCCTTCAAAATGTCTAATGTCAAGGTCGGTAGTATTTTGATCTGAAAAAAAAGAAAAAGAGAAGTGATTTGACATAAAATGACATATTTTCATGCAGTGCAACTGAACGACTCCAATATCATAGTAAACAATCTGAACAATCTTGGCTGACCGGTAGTAAACAATCTGAACAATCTTGGCTGACCGGTCATGAATAATTACAGAGTGATTTAAGAACAAACTAATGCTAATGGATATGCTAGTAGGATTACAAGATTCTCAGTAGTGGCACTGTAAGGCCAATCCTTGTAGCATATCTGTATTTGATTGTTCATGCCCAGCAATTTTATGTACGGTTATGGGGTGGGGATCTCAACTGCTTCCAAGCTGTGACTCAGAAACTAGGTCTCTAGGGGTGTGGTCAATTCTAATATCATGACTGCATTCGTCTCTTTATGCCCAGCATTTGTATATAAAGTTTTGAGGAGGGGATCTCAACCGTTTCAAAGTTATGACCCAGGGGTTAAGTCTCCAAAGGTGGGGCAGACCCTGGGGCCATATTGGAAGCATATGTGCATTCATCTCTTTATACTCAGCAATTGTATATATGGTTATAGGGTGGGGATCTCCACCATTTCCAAGGAATAAACTGTTTTTGGCCCCATCCCTAATTAGCCTGGGGAGGTCAGCCAGTCCATTTGTACAATTGTTAATCTCCACCAAGAAGGGATGCTTCCAACAAAATATAGTTCATATCCATCGCTGAGTTCCGGAGAAGGTCACTTAAAGCAAAATGGCCAAATTACCCTTTATAGCCCCACCCCACAACCCCTGGGATGTCTACCCCACCATTTGTACAATGCTTACGACCAAATATGATTGATATCCATTTCTAAGTTCTACAGAAGCAGTCGACGGATGCCAAGGAATGGCATAGGCTCACCTTGGTCCTTCGGACCTGGTGAGCTAATAAAAAGGTCTTGAACACCTCTCAAAACTTATTTTCTCAATCATTCTTCCAGCATAGTTTAGATTTTCCCTTGGACCTTAAAGGTCACCAGAGATATCATTAAATGTTATTTGTTAAGTGACAAAGAAAAATACTACAGAATATTTTAAACCAAATATGGTGTTTTAATTATGGATATCCTGGCAAAATAATGTTGGGGAGTGATCAATATATATAATTCATATAGCTGGCAACTGTTAAAAAACATAAAAATCATATATTCAAGGGTAAACAATTCACAGCTTTTATGAAGCTCCTTAAGACCTTTCTAATCATAATGAGTCATTCTAGCATATTATAACAACACTTTGTCAGGACCATAAGTTGATCATTCCTACCAAGTTTCTGTTCAATCGGCCCAACAGAACTTGACTTTAAGTTTGAAATAGTTTTTCAAAATGGCGGCCGTGGTGGCCATATTGGATTTCTGATCGACCCGAAAAATAACAACACTTTGTCAGGACCATGAGTCGATCATTCCTACCAAGTTTTAGTTCAATCGGCCCAGCAGAACTTGATTTTAAGTTTGAAATAGTTTTTCAAAATGGCGTCCGTGGCGGCCATATTGGATTTCTGATCTACCCGAAAAATAATAAGACTTGGTCAGGGAGATGTCAGTAACCTTCCCATGAAATATTTATGAAATCCCTCTGCCAGTATTTCAGCTTAAGTTGAAAATGCAAAATGTTAACGGACGATGCAAGACGGACGTCGGACGACGACGGATGAAGACGGATAGCAATAGGTCACTTGAGCTCAGGTGACCTAAAAACATACAAATCCTATATTCAAGGGTAAACAATTCACAGCTTTGATGAAGCACCTTAGGACCTTTCCAACCATAATGATTGTCATTGAGTCATTCTAGCATATTTAGGTCTGAAGAAAAAGTTTGTTGAAATTTTAGCTTTTTTACCTTTTTTGACCCCTATCCTTAAGCTGTAAGAGTGAGCCATGGTATTAATTTTCATACCATCAAACTGCAATCACATGATTATATTTTCACAAAAATTTGAACTATTTTCCTCTGAAAATAAACAAAATATACACAAAGATTATATTTCCCTATGAAATTGATAGTAAACTTTACCCAAACCCCAGGTTAAGGTCACTAGTTACTATTTTGTGGACTCAATATCTGCTAACACATCCAAGTTCCAAATTGACAACGTTCAATATTTCATCATGAAATGGAACTGTCCGTCACTAGATCATCAGTCCTACAATTTACCTCTCGCTCTATGATGTCAAATATGTAGGTCTGATCGTAGATTTCCCTCCAGTTGCGGCCTGCCTCTTCCCCGAGATGTGTGTCCTCGCAGCGTTTGCCAGCAATGATGGAATCCACCTAGCACACAAACATAATAAACACTAAAACTGTTACACTGCCAACGTCTGAACAGATATATTATTGCACTAAGAAGGGTTTGGCAATGGTGTACCTTGAAGCTTTTGCCCGGTCAAGTGTCACCTGTAATATTACTGCACTATACAGGGGTTTGGCAATGTTGTACCTTGAAGCTTTTGCCTGGTCAAGTTTTCACCTGTAATATTACTGCACTATAAAGGGGTTTGGTAATGCTGTATCTTGAAGCTTTTGCCTGGTCAAGTTTTCACCTGCAGTATTATTGCACTATAAAAGGGTTTGGCAATGCTGTATCTTGAAGCTTTTGCCTGTCAACTTTTCACCTGTAATATTATTGCACTATAAAGGGGTTTGGCAATGCTGTATCTTGAAGCTTTTGCCTGGTCAAGTTTTCACCTGTAATATTATTGCACTATAAAGGGGTTTGGCAATGGTGTATCTTGAAGCTCTTGCCTGGTCAAGTTTTCACCTGTAATATTATTGCACTATAAAGGGGTTTGGCAATGCTGTACCTTGAACCTTTCGCCCAATCAAGTTTTCACCTGTAATATTATTGCACTACAAAGGGGTTTGGCAATGGTGTATCTTGAAGCTTTTGCCTGGTCAAGTTTTCACCTGTAATATTATTGCACTATAAAGGGGTTTGGCAATGGTGTACCTTGAAGCTTTCGCCAAATCAAGTTTTCACTTTTAATATTATTGCAATATAAAGGGGTTTTGTAATGCTGTTCTGAAGCTTTTGCCTGGTCAAATTTTCACCTGTAGTATTATTGCACTTAAAAGGGGTTTGGCAATGCTGTACCTTGAACCTTTCGCCCAATCAAGTTTTCACCTGTAATATTATTGCACTATAAAGGGGTATGGCAATTCTGTACATTGAAGCTTTTGCCCGGTCAAGTTTTCACCTGTAATATTTTTGCATTATAAAGGGGTTTGGTGATGCTATACCTTTCACCTTTCACCTAATCAAGTTTTCACCTGTAATATTATTGCACTATAAAGGGGTATGGCAATTCTGTACCTTGAAGCTTTTGCCCGGTCAAGTTTTCACCTGTAATATTTTTGCACTATAAAGGGGTTTTGTAATGCTGTATCTTGAAGCTTTTGCCTGGTCAAATTTTCACCTGTAGTATTATTGCACTTAAAAGGGGTTTGGCAATGCTGTACCTTGAACCTTTCGCCCAATCAAGTTTTCACCTGTAATATTTTTGCATTATAAAGGGGTTTGGTGATGCTATACCTTTCACCTTTCACCTAATCAAGTTTTCACCTGTAATATTATTGCACTATAAAGGGGTTTGGAAATTGTGTATCTTGAAGCTTTTGCCTGGTCAACTTTTCACCTGTAATATTATTGCACTATAAAGGGGTATGGCAATGCTGTACCTTGACGCTTTTGCCCAGTCCAGTTTTCACCTTTATTATCTTTGCACTATAAAGGGGTTTGGCTGTATCTTGAACCTTTTCTCGGGCCAGTTTTCGCTTTTCGCTGGTAAAATCACTACTCAACAATTCTTCATTTCACCCTTCGCATGTATTTACCAAATATATAGTAAGCTGTGCACAAATATTTGCTGTCATGATATAGTTTCATGAAAGCGAAAAAGATGAAAGTTACACTATAGAAAAAAAATCCTTGTCTACAGTATGTCAAGTAGATGTATAAAGCAATTGTTTAGTGAAGAAGATGTTAAAATATATTGGCAGTATGTTATTGAAAAAAAGAGACATATAATTGTGGTTTAAAACATAACACCATTGAGAGGGGAATTAAATAATAACCACTATCTTGAGGGGAACTATGTTGAGGTTTGATACCGTGAAATAAAAGTGTTACAAGGAAAATATCTGTAATAAAGAGGCTAATTTCGATAAATAAAATCTTTTGCAATAACTAGTTTAAATTATGACCAGAGGGCCTGTATCACTCACCTGAATATGTTTAAAATAATTGGTATGAAGTAAAGATATAGCACTCCATGGTAGGTGCTGTAAGTACATATGAAATTTCAGAAAGATCCATCCAGTACTTGAGATATAGTGAGAACAAACTTCAAACAGAGCCCCACCCCTATGCCCCTAGGGGGTGGGGGTGGGGGGTGGTCATACCCACCAATTATACAAAATTGAGACCCCTTGGCCCAAGGATGCTCCAGACTAAATAAGGATAAAATCCCTTAATCCTGATGGTCGAAGAAGGATTTTAAAGATTTTACCTCTATTTCTCCTTTTGGGCCCCACCCTTCTACCCTCTGGCAGACCACACCCACTGCTTATCCAAATTGAGTCCCCTTGGCCCAAGGATGCTTCGGACTAAATTAGGATTAAATCCTTTAATCTCTATGGTAGAAGAAGTATTTTAAAGGTTTTACCTCCATTTCCCCTATTGGGCCCCCTCCTCTCTGCCTCCAGGGGGGTTAGACACACCGTTTATACAAAATTGGTTCCCCTTTACCCAAGGGTGCTTCATACCAAATTTGGACAAAATCCTGTCATTCGTACTGAAGAAGAAGGTATTTGAAGAATTTGCTATATTTCCCCCTCTTGGGCCCCTCCCTTCTGCCCCCAGGGGGGCCACACTTGCTGTTTATACAAAATTGAGTCCCTTTTGCCCAAGGATGCTCCAGATTAAATTAGGATAAAATCCCTTAATCCATATGGTAGAAGAAGATAAAGGTTTTATATTTTGAATATATTGGAACACAGCAATGTTGTATGGATGTTGAAAAGTGTGACATTTAGAAAGTGAAACTTGTTTGTGACCCTATTCCTGGAAGGAAATCAGAAATACAGAAAGTCAACATCACACTACACTAAAGTCATACATAGATAGTCACCCATGGAGATTATCATATTGTTATCCTTACTTTACATGTACACCAGGTGTAGAGCGTGGCATACAGGTTTCTACCACACCGAGACTAACAGATACAGGTGGGCATTTTTCTTTCTTTTTTTCTTCATTTTCATCATATTTTGAAAAGCAAGTATACCATAAACATACTTGCTATACTTTTTTAAAGTTTCATAGGGGGATTCTGCATGCTTAAAATTAAAACATAAATGAAATGTGTGTATACCCCCTCGAGACAAAATAACCCTTCAAATGAAATGTTTTGAGTTGTTCCTTCAGATGAAATGATCATATCTTAGAATATAGCAATAATTAGCAAACTTACTGGTTGAAAATATTAAATTGAAGGGTCCAACATCAGGAGTCTTCCTTCTAAATAGGGAGAGTTGACCAGAATGCATAAATCACTTAATATTCTCTAGAGTATGTTAATTTTTGCATAATTCACAAAGGGAACTTTAATATCTCACTCAATAAAAGGAATAGCTATAATTCAAATCCTTGGAAATATGTCCTTGGATGAACAGTCACAATCATATTCATGAAATTAAGTGATTTATAGTAATCAATTTTATAACAGGTATAAATGAAATTTTACCTTTAGTAAGACTGTAGTATTTTTTCTCCAAACAAATACAAATGTGTTTGTCCAAATTGTATTTAAATGAGATCCCGAGAAACAGTATTACTTCCAGTTTCTTAACTGCTGAACAATAAGAAAAAAAAACAAAAAAAACATAGTGGTTTCCTGATATCTCTAAAAAAGAATTTAATCATTTTGATTTATTTTTTTCCAGAAAACCCCCAAAACCAAATAGGTTGAAAGTGATTCCTAATTCATGAAAACAAGGCATTAACACCAATAGGTGCTGAACAACTTTACCAATGGCAGACTCATCAACAGTGATGGCACAGACAGTCTGTCAGAATGAAGTAACTACTTCTAGTAGTCAAAATCACCAGAGTGTCATTGACAGTATTAGGAACAAACCAACATACTGTCTCAGACACACAGCCAGGGAGGTTTCATTGTTCTGTAGAACATGTGACAGGCTTGCTTGTGCTTCCTGTATTATAGATGGTAACCATAGTGACCATAAGTTCTGTGAAATAGACCATGTCACAAAAGAAAAGCAAGTCCAACTCAGGAACGAGGTGAACAACAGAGGAAAAGAAATGTGTGAACAAGTTCAAAACAGTATCACCCACATGGAACAGGAAAAAGAATCTGTGACAGAAAAATGCACAAATTTATCGGAGAATATTGCCAAACAAAAGGTAACCCTGATAGAAGAGATAGAAACCTGGAGTCAGGGTTTACAGACAACGGTGACAGATCATAAAACAGTGAAAGTTAGCTGTCTGAACGACCGACTTGTACAGTCAGATATGTGTCTCTCACTTCTCAAAGTATTTCAACAACATCCTGAGTCTGTAGATACTTGTGATGGCACAAAATCAATTCAGGCTTTGGAAATTCTGGACAGTATCACAAATCCCCCTAAAATATGGGAGGAAACACCATTGAGTTTCCTTCCAGGGTCAGGATTCTGTGAAGGAAACATGCAGACTTTATTCGGAAGTCTAGCTGGAACGACTTGTGAAACGTCAGTTTCTGTTAACACATGTTCAGAGGATATACCACAGGGAAACAGTGTTGTCGTGGACACAGATGAAGCTGTTGACAGTGACCAGGATTCTACAGATGAAGAGAGTTCATATGAAGAAGTAGACTCGGAAACAATGTACAAATGTACCAAGTCTCCAATAGACAGAATAGCCCCTGTAGATGTGAACAGTGCTTTCATTGTGATAAAAAAGAAACTGTATCTTGTGGACTTTAGCAAACACAAAGGATATATTGAGAATGAAGAACCACTTATGACAGGTGTTGTCCACATCACTCCTGTCACAGAGAAAGGAATTTATGTACAACAGCAAGGAAATCGTCTTTTGGCCAGAGTTACAACGACAGGTAAAGTGTATCGCTTTATTGACTGTGGAGATGATACTTTGAGATGTGTAGGACTGTCGCACTCTGGACAAGTGATCATGTGTGCAGAAAGATACATCAGTGAAATGGAAGGTAACACATCTTTTATAAAGATAATCAGAAGTTTTGATGAATACAATGAAAATGGAGTCAATATCAGAAGTCTAATAGAGATAAAAAAAAAAGCACACTATCTCCATTTTCATCCACAGGATTTTCATGACATTGTCATGACAAATTCTGCCCTGTACATACTTAATTCAACCCTATATATCCCTGACAAGCCAACTACAACAGGAAGTGTGATTAATGTACTAAAAGATATCACATATAAAGGAGCAATAGGGAGAGACCCAGCAAGTCGGTTCCACCCCCGAGGAATGTGTCAGGACAAAGATGGCTGCCTCGTTGTCACAGACTACTGGAACCATGCCCTACACCTGCTCACCCCCGAGGGAAAATTCAGTAAATTTCTGATGAGAGAAGAGGATGGACTGATGTTCCCAACTGCTGTTGCCATTGACAACTACAGACACCTGTGGATTGGTCAGCGTGATGGAAAAGTCCACATTATCAAGTACATTCCATGAATCTCTCAGTCCACTTTGGAAATGCTTTGCTCAGGGAGGACCTGACCCTGATCAAAACCTGTAACAACTATACATGTATCTGTGCTCTGCATCCCAGACTGTGTTACAAACAGCTGAATTGTACAAATGTAAATTATAATTGTAACATATTAACTAGTACACTTAAAAAGCTACAAATGATAAAAATTATTGGCTTGCATTCATTTCAAAATAAACATATGTGTATGCAGTATTTGTTTGAGATGTATACATTTTACTGCACATGTGATGAACAGTCACCCGTCGTATTCTTTATGCACTAGGTGGTATCAATAACATGTTTCAAAGATCATTACGAAAAGCATTTTCCAACGTTTTCTATACCAACTCATGTTTTTAATGGAAATTAGGGCATGAGCAATGTCACATGACTTGACGAGATCTCACGTTACCGAAGGTATTTTCCCCAACGTTATGCAGGCCGTTATGACGTAGGCCGGCGAGATTTTAGTCATGTGGCATTAGAAGGCGGGGCTATAAAAAAATAGAGTAAAACAGAGAAGTTTGAAAAAAAATGTTTTTAGTGATTGTATTGTTTGTTTGAGGCATGTAATTTATGGTCATCTTGTGCATAAAGAATAGATCTTTCGATACGTGTGTGACGATTTGTTTGTAAGATATCAGTTTGAAGTGCGACCCGGGCGCGGGTCGCTTATTTCCCGCATAATATAGAGGGCCAGAGTTCTGATGTTAATCGACGACAGACCGATATAAAAAGAAGTTGATAAAACGTCAGAATAATTCGAACTACACACAAGAATACTTCAGACCTAATATGGACAAAACCCTGCCATTCCTACAGAAGAAAAAGAATTTTAGAGAAATTACCCCTAGTGGCCCCCACCCCTCAGATCCACCATTTATTCAAGTTGCTTCCACTTCACCCAAGGGTGCTTCATACCAAATTTGGACAAAATCATGTCATTTCTACAGAAGATGAAGGATTTTGAAGAATATGCTATGTTTCCCCTATTGGGCCCTGTCCCTCTGCCCCCAGAGTGTTCCACACTCACAGTTAATACAAAATTGAGTGTCTTTTGCCCAAGATTGCTCCAGACCAAATTGGGATAAAATCCCTCAATCCCTACCATAGAACAAGGATTTTTAAGGTTTTACCTCAATTTTCCCTATTGGGCCCCGCTCCTCTGCCTTTAGGGGGCCACACCCACCGTTTATACAAAATTGAGAGCCCTTGGCACAAGGATGCTCAAAACCAAATTTGTTTTCTATTTTCAACTAGGAACTATATTTCTCTAAGCACTAAATGAGATGTTCAGTAAGTACCAATGAAGTTCAAAGATGGCACTTCGAAAATACTGTATGGAAAATAGAAAGTTGAATAACAACTAAACCATAGAGTTATCATGGAAATGTGTTGTTTTTATGCGTGCAATGATGTTGCGGTTTGAGGGTATGGAGAATTGATTTCTACTGCTATTTTTGTTTTTAAACCATGCAGAGAATATTTAAATAAGAGGCCCAGAGAGCCTGTATCTCTCACCAGGATATGTTTAAAGAACTTGATATGAGGTAAAGATATAGCACTCCATGGTAGGTACTATATGTACATATGAAATTTCAGAAAGATCCATCCAGTATTTCTGGAGATATAGCAAGAACTTCAAATTTCAAAATCCAAAATGGCAGCCTGGTGGCCATCTTGTTTTAATGAATACACTCTAACAGTAACAGTCACTACTATACAACTTGATGAAGACAAAATTGGGATAAAATCCCATAATCCCTATGGTAGAAGAATGATTTCAAAGATTTTACCTCTATTTCCCCTATTGGACCCCGCCCCTCTGCCCTGGGGTCCTAACCTACTGTTTATACAAAATTGATTGCCCTTGGCCCAAGATCCTCCAGACCAAATTGGGATGAAATACCTTAGTCCCTTTGTTAGGAAAAGGAATTTAAAGGTTTACCTCTATTTCCCCTATTTTGCCCCACCCCTCTGCCCCCCGAGGGCCACACGCACCGTTTATATAAAATTGAGTCTTCTTGCCCTAAGGAGGCTCCAGACCAAATTGGGATAAGATCCCTCAATCCCTATGGTAGAGGAAGGATTTTAAAGGTTTATCTCTATTTCCCCTATTCAGACCCGCTCCTATGCCCCCTGGGTGGCCACACCCACCGTTTATACAAATTTGAGTCCTCTTGCCCTAAGGATGCTCCAGACCTTATCGGGATGAAATCCCTCAATACCTATGGAAGAAGAAGGATTTTAAAGGTTTATTCGGACCCACCCCTCTGCCCCAGGGAGGACACCCCCACTGTTTATACAAAATTGAGTCCTCTTGGACCAAGGATGCTCCAGACTAAAGGATGAGTGTCTACAAGGCACTTTTTTGGACCTGTGTATATTTGGATTTTCACCTCCTTATTTTGTTCAAAGATGTCCTATGGTATGACATGCGTAAAAACTAAGGTAAAACTTTGACCGAAAGTGGGTTTCTGGGGGTACCAAAAGGGGTAGGGTAAATCACAAATATAGTTTGCTGTTTTCAAAATTTGTTTTCTCAATAATTTCCTTTCTAATTAATATTTTGACTTGAAATTTACAACTTGACTCATTTCAGTAGACTTACATAAATTGCATATTGACTACATACTTTCCTTTTGTTTTATACTGAGTTATGATTTCTGGACACATCTCAAACATGGCTATTTCAAATATCTCTCAATTTTAAGTGAATTAAAAGGTGCATGACACCCTTTGTATGCTACAAGTATAAGACATCAATTGTTAGTATTGTATATTAAATAATATTTGCTCAACTCCTGTGGCTGAAGTGAGTACCAGGTCCTGTTTGTTTTTTTACTTATCAAAGTTAACTTACAAATCAAGAATGGCATTTGCCACCACAACTACTGTAACAAGAGGCCCATGGGCCTAAACGGTCACCTGAGTCTACAGTATTTATTTTTGTTGTTGAAATATGTACCAATTTGAGTAAAATAGTATAATGTTAACTTAACTTTGTCAGGACCATGAGCTGATCATTCCTAGACCAATTTTAAGTGAGATCGGCCTATTAGAACTTAGTAGCAAAATAGCGGCCATGGCAGCCAAATTGTATTTCTGATTGACCCGAAAAATAACAACACTTTGTCAGGACCATGATTCGATCATTCCTACAAAGTTTCAGTTCAATCGGCCAAGTAGAACTTTACTTTAAGTTTGAAATAGTTTTTCAAAATGGCAGCCGTGGTGGCCATATTGGATTTCTGATCGACCCGAAAAATAACAACACTTTGTCAGGACCATGAGTCAATCATTCCTACAAAGTTTCAGTTCAATCGGCCTAGCAGAACTTGACTTTAAGTTTGAAATAGTTTTTCAAAATGGCGGCCGTGGCGGCCATATTGGATTTCTGATCGACCCGAAAAATAACAACACTTTGTCAGGACCATGAGTCGATCATTCCTACAAAGTTTCAGTTCAATCGGCCTAGCAGAACTTGACTTTAAGTTTGAAATAGTTTTTCAAAATGGCGGCCGTGGCGGCCATATTGGATTTCTGATCGACCCGAAAAATAACAACACTTTGTCAGGACCATGAGGCGATCATTCCTACCAACTTTCAGTTCAATCGGTCCAGCAGAACTTGACTTTAAGTTTGAAATAGGTTTTCAAAATGGCGGCCGTGGCGGCCATATTGGATTTCTGATCGACCCGAAAAATAACAACACTTTGTCAGGACTATGAGGCGATCATTCCTACCAACTTTCAGTTTAATCGGCCCAGCAGAACTTGACTTTAAGTTTGAAATGTAAAATGTTAACAGACGACGGACGACGACGGACGAAAACGGATAGCAATAGGTCACTTGAGCTAAAGCTCAGGTGACCTAAAAACAAGAGCTGTCGGAGAACAGCATAGCTCGCCTATGAATGTTATTATAATACTGTAACTATCAATAGAAACACATGTATAGTAAAACGTTGATATAGTGCCTGTTATTTTATTTGCCACCTCACTTACCACCAGGATATTTCAAGGACTGTTAAATGTGTAGAAACATCTATGTGAAGTGATTGTTAAGAAATTAACAATAAAGCTGTTTTTGGATGCTAAAATATGAAAATATGGTTCAACACATTGCTTACACTCAATACAAATACTTCAACTTTATAATAGACAACAGCCTATTGATGGTGGTGGTCCAACACTACCCAACAAAACTTGCGCAAAAGCTTGAACCTCAAATTTAACTAAGTCCAACTTAGCTGTTTTTGGGACATAAAATATGAAAATATTGCCCAGAACATTGCTAACACTCCATATAAATGCTTCAACCTTATAATAGACAACAGCCTATTGATGGTGGTTGTCCAACACTTCACAAAACAACTTGCCCAAAAACTTTAACCTCAAATTTAACTAAGTCCAATTAAGCTGTTTTTGGGCCATAAAATATGAAAATATGGTCTAGCACATTGCTTACACTCGATATAATTGACTTAAACTCATAATAGACAACTGTGTATTGAGTGTGATGATCCAACACTGCCTTGAAAAAACTTGCACCAAAACTTTAACCTCGGAAGGTGGGACGCCGACGCCGGGGTGACTACATTAGCCCCCCTATTCTTCGAATAGGCGAGCTAATGATTGATTTAATATATGAAGTTTGATTTAAAGTCTTCTAGCCTTAAGGAAAGTATCTGCTTTAATCGTTAAAGTTAACGGATTTCATTGTTTTATAAAATGGTCTGCCTATTTCCAATGTTTATCTGCTGATTGTACATAAAAAGCATTTGGGGATAAGCATGCAACTTGGCTTAGACATTAGTTACGTGATGATATTTAATTTGTGAAAGTTTCATACTTATCCCACAATGCCTTTTTACCTAAAAACACCTTTTCCTGTGATTTGGAGTACAAGGACCAAAGTGCATCTTGTTGCCTAACACCAAATATTTCCTGACAGTACTAATCTATATGAATGTATGTAGATTAAACAGATTCAGTAGAGACTTGATAGTAGTCAGAGGGGCGTTTAACATGTTACACTGACCAAATCCCTTAATCCCTTTGGTAGAGGAAGGATTTTAAAGGTTTACTTTTATTTCCCCTATTTTGCCCCATCCTTTTGACCCCCAGGGGCCACACACCGTTTATACAAAATTGAGTCCTCTTGCCCTAAGGAGGCTCCAGACCTTATCGGGATGAAATCCCTCAATACCTATGGAAGAAGAAGGATTTTAAAGGTTTATTCGGACCCACCCCTCTGCCCCAGGGAGGACACCCCCACTGTTTATACAAAATTGAGTCCTCTTGGACCAAGGATGCTCCAGACTAAAGGATGAGTGTCTACAAGGCACTTTTTTGGACCTGTGTATATTTGGATTTTCACCTCCTTATTTTGTTCAAAGATGTCCTATGGTATGACATGCGTAAAAACTAAGGTAAAACTTTGACCGAAAGTGGGTTTCTGGGGGTACCAAAAGGGGTAGGGTAAATCACAAATATAGTTTGCTGTTTTCAAAATTTGTTTTCTCAATAATTTCCTTTCTAATTAATATTTTGACTTGAAATTTACAACTTGACTCATTTCAGTAGACTTACATAAATTGCATATTGACTACATACTTTCCTTTTGTTTTATACTGAGTTATGATTTCTGGACACATCTCAAACATGGCTATTTCAAATATCTCTCAATTTTAAGTGAATTAAAAGGTGCATGACACCCTTTGTATGCTACAAGTATAAGACATCAATTGTTAGTATTGTATATTAAATAATATTTGCTCAACTCCTGTGGCTGAAGTGAGTACCAGGTCCTGTTTGTTTTTTTACTTATCAAAGTTAACTTACAAATCAAGAATGGCATTTGCCACCACAACTACTGTAACAAGAGGCCCATGGGCCTAAACGGTCACCTGAGTCTACAGTATTTATTTTTGTTGTTGAAATATGTACCAATTTGAGTAAAATAGTATAATGTTAACTTAACTTTGTCAGGACCATGAGCTGATCATTCCTAGACCAATTTTAAGTGAGATCGGCCTATTAGAACTTAGTAGCAAAATAGCGGCCATGGCAGCCAAATTGTATTTCTGATTGACCCGAAAAATAACAACACTTTGTCAGGACCATGAGTCAATCATTCCTACAAACTTTTAAGTTCAATTGGTCCAGCAGAACTTTACTTTAAGTTTTAAATAGGTTTTCAAAATGGCGGCCGTGGCGGCCATATTGGATTTCTGATTGACCTGAAAAATAATAACACTTTGTCAGGACCATGAGCTGATCATTCCTACAAACTTTCAGTTCAATTGGCCTAGCAGAACTTGACTTTAACTTTGAAATAGTTTTTCAAAATTGAGTCCCGTCTGGAGGAATTCTCTATCCACATCTGGTACATATGAGAGAGTCTTGTAGGATTTTAAACATTTACTTCAATTTTTCGCTATTGGGCTGTGCCCCTCTGCTCTCAGTGGGACACATCCTCCATTTATACAAAATTGATTCCACTTTGCCCAAGGATGCTTTACACCTAATTTACATTAAAATATCCCTTTATTCCCCTTATTGGGCTCCTCCCCTCTGCCACCTTGAGGGGGAAGGGGTGTCACGTTAATTCAAAATTAAGTCCCCTTTGCCAAGAGATGCTTTACACCAAATTTTATTCCAGCTTGCCCAAGGATGCTCTTCACAAGTACCTATTGTACTGAATGAGAAGGATTTTAAACATTTATTACTATGTTCCACCATTGGGCCTGCCCCTCTGTCCCTAGAGGGGGCTCCACTCTCCGTTAATTCAAAATTGAGTTCCCCTTGCCAAATGATGCTCTGGATAAAATTTGGTTAAAACCCCTCCAAATTGCACTGAAGGAGAAGTATTTTAAAGATTTCCCCCAATTTCCCCCATTAGGCCCCACCCTCTGTCCCTAAGAGAAACAACGCCCTCTCTTTATACAAAAATGAAGATCCTTGTAAAATGATGCTCCAGGCCAAATTTAATTAAAATCTACTGAGCAATTCAGCATTTTGAAGGAAAAGTTGATGGATGGACACATTGACGACGGATGTTCTGCCAACATATCTTTTGGACCAGTTGAGGTAACAAGAGGCCCATGGGCCTTAATGGTCACCTAGTTGAGCTAACAAGAGGCCCATGGGCCTTAATGGTCACCTGAGTCTTACAGTATTTATTTTTATTATTGAAATATGAAATGGAGATAATGATGTCAATCATCCCTACCAATTTGAGTAAAAAATAGTTAAGTATAACGTTAAGTTAAGTTTGTCAGGACCATCAGTCGATCATTCCTAGACCAAGTTTCAGTTAAATCAGACTATTAGAAATTGATTTTATGCTTGATTTTTTTTTTCAGCGGCCATATTGGATTTTTGATCGGCCTGGAAAAAAACACAACACTTTGCCAGGACCAAGAGTCGATCATTCCTACCAAGTTTCAGTTAAATCGGCCCAGTAGAACTTGACTTTGAGTTTGAAATTGTTTTTTAAAATGGCCGGCCGTGGCGGTCATATTGGATTTCTGATCGACCCAAAAAATAACAACACTTTGTCAGGACCATAATTCGATCAATCCCACTAAGTTTCAGTTAAATCGGCCTAGTAGAACTTGACTTTAAGTTTGAAATAGTTTTTCAAAATGGCCTCTGTGACGCCCATATTTGATTTCTGATCGACCCGAAACATAACAACACTTGGTCAGGGAAATGTCCGTAACATTCCCATGAAGTATCAATGAAATCCTTTAGACAGTATTTCAGCTTAAGTTGGAAATGTAAAATGTTAACGGACGACGGACGATGGACACCCTTTGGTACCCTTTGGTGTTAAACAAGAGTCCCAGGGGCCTTAATAGTTCACCTGGTATTTTATTTTCAAGTTAAAACCTGCTGAGTACCATATTGGTTTATCAAAGGAGTACAAGAAACAAAGTTGCATTTAAATCAGTTTTGGTGGGTAAGACACCATGTTATGATGTTAAGACCCAAGGAGGTTAGTAGCCTCCAGGGATGCTCCAGACAAAAAATTTGGTCAAAATCCCTTCATCGGTACAAAAGGAGAAGGATCTTTAATGCTTTCCTCTATTGCCCCTAATGGGCCCCACCCATCTTCCCCAAAGGAGAGGGTCCACACACCTCAGTTTATACAAAATTGATTCTTTTGTACCTAAGCATATGCTTCAGGCTGCATTTGGTTTAAATCCCCTCACTTGTATAGTAGGGGAAACATTTTCCTCTATTTCCCCTATTGGGCCCCGCCCCAGAAGGGCCACATCCTCCATTTATACAAACTTGATGCTCCTTTGTCCAAAGATACTCTAGAACAAATTTGGTCAAAATCCTGTTATTGGTTGAAAAGAAGAAGATTTTTAAAGATTTACCTAATATCCCTCTATTTGGTCCCATCCCTCTGCCCCCAGGGGGGTCATACCCTCTGTTTATACAAAACTAACAACCCTTTGGCCAATGATGCTCCATACCAAATTTGGTCAAAATCCTCTGAGCCGTAAAGGACTAGTAGCGTTTTAAAGGAAAAAGTTGATGGCCGACAGACGCCGGACGCTGCGCCATGGCATAAGCTCACTTGGCCCTTTGTGTGAAGTTTGATCAAAATCCCTCATGGAATGAATCCGCTAGAGCGCTGACAAGGATTTTCTAAAAATAATAACGGTTACCTTTTCCTAGACCCGTAAACACTGAAACTCAAACTTGTTCGAGATATTATGGTCCTTTGTAATTGAATGAAGTTCGTTCCAAATCCCTCAAGGAATGAAGCGGCTAGAGCGCTGACAAGGATTTTCATAAAATTGTAACGGTGACCTTGACATTGACCCGACAACACTGAAACTCAAACTTGTTCGAGATATTATAGTCCTTTGTAATTGTATGAAGTTTGTTAAAAATACCTCAAGGAATGAAATCGCTAGAGCCTTGACAAGGATTTTCTAAAAATAGTTATGGTGACCTTGACCTTGATCAAACAACCCTGAAATTCGAACTTGTCCAAAATATTATGGTCCTTTGTATTTGTGTGCGCTGACAAACATTGGTGTTACCTACGTACGTACGTACGTACACAGACGGAGGGAGAGGAAAACTATAGTCCCCCCCCGGTTTCACCGGTAGGGGACTAATAAGATCCTAGGGATTGGGACAGTCCCTGGAGCCATTCCTAATAGCATATGCATGTGTATCCAAATCTTCATGCCAAGCACTCTATATATTGTTATAGAGTGGGAATCTCAAATGTTTCCATGTTATAACCCAGGGAATAAGTCCCAAAGGGTGGGATCGACCCCAAGGCCAATTCTGGTAACGCAATTGTGTTCATCTCTTCATGCTGAGCAATTGTATACCTAATCACATTTCCATGTTTATATGACCCAGAGTATAAGTTACCAGGGGTTGTGCATATCCAGAGGCCAAACCTGGTAGCATACCTGTGTTAGATTTTGCATCCCAAGCTATTGCATATGCGGTAATGGGATGGGGATCTCAACAGTTTCAAAGCTATGACCAAGGGACTAAGTCACCATGTATTTGGCCTGACACTGGAGCAAATCCTGGTAGATATGTGTATTTGTCTCTTCATGCTCAGCAATTGTATATATAGTTGGGTTGGGATCTCAACTGTTTCCAAGTTGTGACCCAGACAGTAAGTCCCTGGTAAGAGTAAACCATTTTTGGTATAACCCAGGGACATAGTCCCTAAAGGAGGGGGCACATTCTGAGGAAAATCCTGGCGGCATATCTGTGTTTGAGTTGTCATGCACAGCAACTGTATGAATGGTTAAAGGGTGGGGATCTCAACTGTTTCTAATTGTGACTCAAAAATTAGATCCTTAGGGGTGTGGTCAGACTCAAGAATCCAGTCTAATGATCTATGATGGTGATTTTATCTTTATGTTCAGAAATTGTATATACGGGTATGGGGTAGGGATCTTAACCCTTTCAAAGTTATGACTAAGGAACTAAGTCTCTAGGGGTGTAGCAACATTAAACTGATACAAACAATGGTGTTGATGTTATTTGACCACTAAAAATTCAATAAAAGCTTCTGTACACCTACCAGTGATTTGAATTCTTCCTCTGTCATGCTGTCAAGAATTGACCTAAATTCTACGAGGAAGTCGTCAATATGTTTGTCTACTGCACTCATACTGAAATATACAAAAACAGCATCACCATACAAAAACTCAGTAAATCTTCACACTACACTCATATTGAAATATACAAAAACAGCATCACCATACAAAAACTCAGTAATCTTCACACTACACTCATACTGAAATATACAAAAACAGCATCACCGTAAAAAAAAACTCAGTAATCTTCACACTACACTCATACATGCTTGTATAACTGAAGATATTGATAACTAAAAGAGCCAAATAAGTGAATATGAGACATTTTAAAGTTTATCATTCAATATATCATTTTTTTTTTTTTAAATTAGAAAGGAAAGCAGCTATATCAAAGTTGATTTTGTGAGGGAAAGTGTCAGTGGAAGGTTGAAACAGGATCTGAAACAATGGAAATGACCATTCGACAAATATACATTAACAAGGTAATTAAAAAGCATAGTACTAACCTGAATTTGTTGGCCTGACACTCGACAGTGACAGCCAATCCCAGAATGCCGTTTGTCAGCAGATACTCACAGAATGTGCTGTAACCTAGCTGATGTTTAGTACGCAGGAAGTCGAAGCAGGGCTCTGTCATACGTGTCTACAAATATACCTTAAATATACAGTAGTGAACCTACATAGGAAGTCAAAGCAGGGCTCTGTCATATGTGTCTACAAATATACCATAAATATACAGTAGTGTACCTACATAGGAAGTCAAAGCAGGGCTCTGTCAGACGTGTCTACAAATATACCCTAAATATACAGTAGTGTACCTACATAGGAAGTGAAAGAAAAATATCAACGTTGGTTATCAAAAACAAACAGAAAATTTTAACTGTCTTTTTATTTAATTTCCAATGTAAAAGTTCTCTTAAAGATAATTAGCACAAATCATTCCAGTAGATATAATTAAAAGCTACTACCCACAAGTTTCAGATTATTTTATTGCTTGGCCTTAATTAGCATGCAGCACAAATTGGCATGTATTCACAAGACCATGAACATGTCAAAGCAGGAATCAAAGAAATTTACAGCATTTGTGTATGTTTTATTTAAAACAAAATACCAAGGACAGGGTGGTCAGGTGATGGAGTAGATAGCACATTTGTCTTTCACAAGGGCGGTTGGGATCCAAATTCCCAATTGGATGTGAAAAGGTATTGGGTCACCTACGAAACTCTATAGGTTTTCTCAAGGTGCTCCAGTTTCCTTCTCCATTAAGACCTTCTTCCATCCAGGCCATCAAGAAAGATTAATATAAGTTGGAAACCTTGTTTTTCACCAATTGAAAAATGAATGAAAACTTAACTGAACCTAAAGAACGATATCTATAGTAAATATATTACCCCTAAGACTTCGTTGATGGTGTTGGTGTAAATCCTGCCTGGCTCCGACTGAAGGTATACGACCACACACGAGTTGTTGTCGTCATAGTTATAACCTTTGACCTGACAGTAGGTGTTGCCCACAGGGACCTCGTACAACTTTTTCTACAGCCAAAAAACAAACATGTTATTAAAACTTAGTACAACCATTTCACACAATATCTAAAGGTACAAGCTGTTCTGATTAAACACAACATCTAAAGGTTCAAGATGTTTGGATTACGCACACTAACTAAAAGTACAGCTATTTATAACATCTTTCAATTAGCTTGGATCGTAAAATTTTGATACTGTAAACTGGAAAATGTTCCACCGATCAAACTTTTGTCCTTCACTAATGAATCATTTTTTAACCAGTGTTAGTTTCGCGCTTCACATTTTGGGGAAAAGGCAAAAATTAAACTGCTGTGAACATTTCCTAGTACACTGTTTCCAAGTATTAAATAACAACTCATTGTGAATGAAATTTAAATCTACTTTAAATTTATGTATAATTTGCTATCTTTTTTTTTCATTTCTCAGTCAAGTTACCTGGAGTAGGTGTTATGACCTGGAGTAGGTGTTATTACCTTGAGGAGGTGTTATTACCTTGAGTAGGTGTTATTACCTGGAGGAGCTGTTATAACCTGGAGAAGGTGTTATTACCTAGAGTAGGTGTTATTACCTGGAGTAGGTGTTATTACCTGGAGGAGGTGTTATTACCTGGATGAGCTGTTATAACCTGGATGAGGTGTTATTACCTTGAGTAGGTGTTATTACCTGGAGTTGGTGTTATTACCTGGAGGTGTTATTACCTGGAGGAGATGTTATAACCTGGAGTAGGTGTTATTACCTGGAGTAGGTGTTATTACCTGGAGGAGGTGTTATTACCTGGAGGAGGTGTTATTACCTGGATGAGCTGTTATAACCTGGATGAGGTGTTATTACCTTGAGTAGGTGTTATTACCTGGAGTTGGTGTTATTACCTGGAGGTGTTATTACCTGGAGGACGTGTTATTATCTAGAGTAGGTGTTATTACCTAGAGTAGGTGTTATTACCTGGAGTTGGTGTTATTACCTGGAGGAGGCGTTATTACCAAGAGGAGGAGTTATTACCTGGATGAGCTGTTATAACCTGGATGAGGTGTTATTACCTTGAGTATGTGTTATTACCTGGAGTTGGTGTCATTACCTGGAGGAGGTGTTATATCCTGGAGTAGGTGTTATTACCTGGAGGAGGAGTTATTACCTGGATGAGCTGTTATAACCTGGATGAGGTGTTATTACCTTGAGTAGGGGTTATTACCTAGAGGAAGTGTTATTACCGAGAGTAGGTATTATTACCTGGAGTTGGTGTTATTACCTGGAGGAGGTGTTATTACCAAGAGGAGGTGTTATTACCTGGACGAGTTGTGTGACTGGAAGTGGTGCTCCTGGTAACACTGCATTGATCTTGTCCTTGTAACCTGCTGCTTCCTTGGTGAGTGATTATAATGAAAGACAGAAAGAAAGTCAATGAACACTTTCAATTGAAACTGACACAAAAACATTGCAGTGCCACACCAGGTAATGCACCTTCCTACAGAATTTTATCAAAATCTGACAATTAATTTAATTAATTTTGACCAATCAGAAGCCATGGAACAGCAGCCAGCTGCCAAATGGTAAAATGGAAATCACAGTAGATTCGTAGTGCCATTATACACCAACATACCAAAATTGAATCTAACTAAATTTCGACCAATCAGAGGCTGCAGCTGCCATGTATATTTGTCCAATCAAATAAAGAAGGCCTATTATGGACTTAAACACCTGTAATGTATGAATAAACAATCTTTCCAAACTACTGGAGGTCAAGCAGATCGGTAAATTGTAATAGTTTTCGATTAACATGGATGTATTTTTATAACTGTACTCTTATTTTCTGGGTTTTTTTCACAACTTCATAACATTTAAAGAGGCCCAGAGGGCCTGTATCACTCACCTGAATATGTTTAAAATAATTGGTATGAAGTAAAGATATAGCACTCCATGGTAGGTGCTGTAAGTACATATGAAAGTTCAGAAAATTCCATCCAGTACTTGAGATATCGTAAGAACAAACTTCAAACAGAGCACCACCCCTATGCCCCTAGTAGGGTCATACCCACCAATTATACAAAATTAAGTCCCCTTGTCCTAAGGATGCTGCCCACTAAATAAGGATAAAATCCCTTAATCCCGATGGTCGAAAAAGGATTTTAAAGGTTTTACCTCTATTTCTCCTATTTGCATTTGGCCCCGCCCTTCTAGCCACTGGGAGACCACACCCACTGCTTATAGAAAATTGAGTCTCCTTGGCCGAAGGATGCTCCCGAATAAATTAGGATAAAATTCCTTAATCCCTATGGTAGAAGAAGGATTTTAAAGGTTTTACCTCTATTTCCCCTATTGGGCCTCGCCTCTCTGCCTCCAGGGGGGTCAGACACACCGTTTATACAAAAAAAAATCCCCTTCCCCCAAGGATGCTTCTGACCAAATATGGAACAATACTTTTCATTACTACAGAATAAGAAGGATTTTAAAGAATTTGACATGTTTACCCTATTTGGCCCCGCCCCTCAGGTCCCTGGGGGGCCAGACCCACGGATTATACAAAATTTGTTCCACTTTACTAAAGGATGCTTCAGACCGAATATGGAACAAATCCTTTCATTCCTACAGAAGAAGAAGGATTTTAAAGAATTTGCTAAATTTCCCCTATTGGGCCCTGCCCCTCAGCCCCCAGGGGGGCCAGACCCACCATTTATACAAAATTTGTTCCCCTTCCCCCAAGGATGCTTTTGACTAAATTTGGTCAAAATCTGCTCAGTTGTTCATAACTAGTAGCGATTTTTAGGAAAAGTTGACGGACGACGGACGCCGCACCATGGCATAAGCTCCTTTGGACCAGGTGAGCTAAAAATGACATGATTCTGAAAGATTACAAACAATTAGGTTGGTGGGCTTACCTCTTCCGAGAAATTTCCTGTCAGAAAGCTCTCTACCCAGACATTTTGTTGGAACTCTTCAACAAAACGCTCAAACATATCATGTGTGATATCGTTGATACGGCCCAAGCGATCAGGAATAGGCCAGTTCAGAGGGGATGTGACTGCAAATCTCAACATCCTGAAATTTATTGGAACTTTGTCAAATCCTGCCTTCAGAAACTTCAACAACTTTATTTATCCTCAGGGTCTACAAATTAACCAGACCTCCAGATATCTACAGAAACATTGTTAATCCTAGCAGCTAAAATTACAGGAACTAATTGTTCCTAACAACAAAACCAGATGTCTACAATACCCTGATTCAATCTATCTTCGGAATCAACAGAAACCTTTTTAATCCTGGCTTCCATAATCCTCAATATTGATTCCCAAAATAGTGAAAGTGTTGCAGCAGTACCAAAATCATGAGAAGGTGTTGTTCTTGTTTGTTAGACTAGAAACCCATGTAACAAAAGTAAGGGCATTAAACCATGAAGTTACTGGCACCAGGACTGTAGGGTTTATAGACTGAATGTCTATTTCAAATTACGAAACTCAACTTTATTCTTATTAGATTATTATTACTATTCTAAGCTGGGATATCATACATGTACATTACCTCCAAAAAAAAGGATGAAAATTTTGACCCAGTGTAAAAAACTCCAGAGGAAAGTGTGTTAGTATGATCATTATTACCTTGCCAGTTTGTCTGGTCTGATCATATCGTTATTGTAGATACGAGTTACCTCCTCTTTCATCATCTTAAACTCATTTCTGGTACAGCGAAACCCAAACACACGGTCCAGTAACAGGTCGGTGATGGCCTGAGAACATAGAGTTACAATATCTTAATACGCTAATTTGTATGTGTGACAATATTTGGAAACCTTTCCCTCAGGTAATTTCTACCTTTTACAACAGTTTGTTCCTTGATGAATAGGGAAAAACAGCATTATTTTTATTGCAATTTGGAAGATATTCCTCATCATTTCTTCCCACTTTTTTGCTGTAGGAAGCAGTCAGTTTTTGGCTGTAAAACTAGGCCAAACAATAACTGCTTATATATACATGTAAAACGAGTGTAGGGGTTACATCCCAGGCTACACATTAGAGTAAAACCCAGAGACAATAACACCAAACATAGAACTTCCCTGTCTGAATAGAAATGTCTTAAAAATCCTTTTAAATAGTATATTAGTTTATGCATAAACTAAGAAATGATCTGATCGGTACATCTACCGTTTAAATGAAACTTAAACAGAGTGCCTCTTTATCATACAGATCCGTGAGTAAAAATCCACTTCATCAGAATGAAATAATCTTGTTTACTTTGGGTATAATTCAAGGTAGAAGAACTTTTATCCTGCCAAACCAATAAGTGGAGGTAACATTGCTGAACAACTCAGCCAGGTACCAGTGAGGCACTGATATGGACAGGTAGAGATTTCCACAAGGTGTCTTGTGCATGTATGCATGCACACACACAAATACAGACATGCAAAAGTTACGATGAATCAAACACACAACAATTTTAAAGGGTTGCGCAGAGATAAAATTATCCAGATAATTATCTTAAAACAAACAATATTCACTTACCTTCATTTTATGGGAAAATCCACTCATGTAGAGAAGTATTCCAGTTTCATGTCCTTCCACACCATATCTGTAAATCAAGGTTAATCCTATTCATGTCAAGGTCAAATCATTTACATTTACTTAGTACTTATGAGGTGAGGTTGATTTGCATCCAAATCTCAGCAATACTGAAAGGTCAGCAAGGACCCAACCATGTACCTGACCTCAAACAACTCAGCGGGCATAATACAAGAGGCCCAATGGGCCTGCATCGCTCACCTGGTACAAATCTCACACTTGTAACCTTAAAAGTGATCTAAAATAAAGCTACAGGCAAAATAAAATATCAGTATTTATGATTAAAATTCATTCAAAAGAACCTGTTATTTTTTTTTAAACATTTCACCCCTGTGATTGAAAATCGAACAAAGTCATTATGTTAAACAAATTGTATAGCCTTTCATCTCAGGATGCAACTTGCAAAGTATCAACATCCTGGGACCATTGGTTATTCAGAAGAGGTCGATTAAAGATTTTAAACAAATTTCACCCCTGTGACCTTGAATATAAGTCAAAGTCATTCACTTTAACAAACATAGTAGTCCTTGATCCCAGCATGCTACTGACTAAATATCATCACCCTGGGCATTTTTTGTTATTCAGAAGTTGTTTAAAGTTTTTAACATATTTGAAACCTGTGACCTTGAATATGGGTGAAGGCCATTCATTTGAACAAACTTTGTAGCCCTTCATGTCAGCATGCTACTGGCCTAATATCATCACCCTGGGCATTTGGGTTATTCAGAAGAAGTTGTTTAAAGTTTTTAACATATTTGAAACCTGTGACCTTGAATATGGGTGAAGGCCATTCATTTGAACAAACTTTGTAGCCCTTCATCTCAGCATGCTACTGGCCAAATATCATCACCCTGTGCATGTTGGTTATTCAGAAGAAGTTGTTTAAAGGTTTTTTAAGGCAATTGACCCATGTGACCTTGAATATAATTGAAGTTCATTCATTTAGACAAACTTGGTAGCCCTTCCCCCAAGCATGCTACTGGCCAAATATCATCTCCCTGGTCAGTTTGGTTATCAAGAAGAAGATGTTTAAAGTTTTTAACATATTTGACCCATGTGACCTTGAAAATGGGTGAAGGTCATTCATTTGAACAAACTTTGTAGCCCTTCATGTCAGCATGCTACTGGCCAAATATCATCACCCTGTGCATGTTGGTTATTCAGAAGAAGTTGTTTAAAGGTTTTTTAAGACAATTGACCCATGTGACCTTGAATATAATTGAAGTTCATTCATTTAGACAAACTTGGTAGCCCTTCACCCAAGCATGCTACTGGCCAAATATCATCTCCCTGGACAGTTTGGTTATCAAGAAGAAGATGTTTAAAGTTTTTAACATATTTGACCCATGTGACCTTGAAAATGGGTGAAGGTCATTCATTTGAACAAACTTGGTAGCCCTTCATCTCAGCATGCTACTGGCCAAATATCATCACCCTGGGCATTTTGGTTATTCAGAAGAAGTTGTTTAAAGGTTTTTTAAGACAATTGACCCCTGTGACCTTGAATATAATTGAAGGTCATTCATTTGAACAAACTTGGTAGCCCTTCACCCAAGCATGCTACTGGCCAAATATCATCTCCCTGGGCAGTTTGGTTATCGAGAAGAAGATGTTTAAAGTTTTTAACATATTTGACCCCTGTGACCTTGAAAATGGGTGAAGGTCATTCATTTGAACAAACTTTGTAGCCCTTCATCTCAGCTTGCTACTGGCCAAATATCATCACCCTGGGCATTTTGGTTATTCAGAAGAAGTTGTTTAAAGTTTTTAACATATTTGACCCCTGTGACCTTGAATATGGGTGAAGGTCATTCATTTGAACAAACTTTGTAGCCCTTCATCTCAGCATGCTACTGGCCAAATATCATCACCCTGAGCATTTCGGTTATTCAGAAGAAGTTGTTTAAAGGGTTTTTAACATATTTGACCCCTGTGACCTTGAAAATGGGTCAAGGTCATTCATTTGTACAAACTTGGTAGCCCTTCACCCATGCATGCTACTGGCAAAATAGCATCACCCTGAACATTTTGGTTATTGAGAAGAAGTTGTTTAAAGTTTTTAACATATTTGA